TCTTGTCATCGCCCCCAAAACCCCAAAACCCCAAAAGGCACAATCATTTTTAAGAAACAAATGCAAATAAAATATAAATTCACAACAATTACAGCTTACTTAGTGCACTTATTCAGACTCTTATCATTCAAGTGAGTGTGACTTTAGATTTGTTTCATAGTTTTAGCATTAACAGAAAAAGCCAATAAAGTCACAATTTTCCTAATCATTAGGTAGCTTTGATATTAGACTTCTCTCTTGATATTCTCCACTGGCCCAATACTTTAGAAAATTCCTGAATTCCATATGGGTAATTAGTTTTTGCTAGTTATAATCGAAATTTTTTTGATACTCAGGCTTTAGCCCTTTTAAGTTTTAAGTCATTATGAATGGATTAAACATCTCAACATCTCTTTAAACCCCTCCAAATATTTTCCTAATACCCCCAATATGCAAACCGTGATCACTAAATAGAATGATGGTAGTGTTATCTTGCTCAACTTCTCTTAAGAGTTGATTAAGGGGCTCATCGACATATTGAATAACCTCACCTGTCTCCTCATGTCCATCCATCAAAACGACTATTGATACCTTTTTATCTTAGTTATATGTTTTCCAAAATTATTTAGCATAGTCAAATGTAAACACGAAAGAGTCTCTCTAATAGAGACAATGCCTAAAGATTGAGAAGAAGCCTTAGAACTAAGCTTTGCCACCAACAAAGTCATAGATATGGGGATCACAAGTTGTACCCACACTTTCATGATCTGCAGGAGTATTTTTTACAAACCTCTTATATCTGTCTTTCTGGCCAAATAGATTAGTCTCACAAATGTCTGCTGCATAAGATGTTATATATCCAAGAGACTAGAAATCCTCTATTAGAGATATTAGCTTATTTTCAAAGTCAGGTAGATAGTTTTCATCATAGGGTGGATATGCTGGTCCATAACTCAAATCTTCCCTAGTCTTTCCATAGAGGAATAGCATCATATTTTCTACTGTTCTGTCATGCATGGCGTGTAGTCTAAAAAATTCTTTGTGATCTCTTTCTTTAAAGAATTCCATTGTCTTTGGCAGCTTGTGATGAGCTCTTTACCTAGAAAATGCATCTATGAATACTAGCATTAAGTTATCTGTAAGGTTTCCACGATCTTTAGGCTAGAGCTTTTTCCTTTCTTCTACTAAAGTTTCATTTCTTTCTATGTGATTGATAAAATTAGAGTTCTTAGTATCAAGAATGACTTCATAGCCATCTTTGATAGCTTATTCTAAGGTATCGTATCCTGTAGCATTGTAAACAACTGCTTCTTTAATCAAGTATTCATTTCTACTGTCATAGTCAAAATTTTTGGTAAGAGGCAAAGCAATAAATGGTTTATCAGTCTTGTAATATTCTGTAAATATTTCAGGGAATGTTGGTACATTTTCACATTGAAGATTCTTAAAATACCTTGTAAAGTCTTACCAATCACTAATAATTTCAGCAAAGCATACTTATGGAACCCTGAACTCACAAAATTCTTTTGACTAATCTAACTCCAATGAAAGTCCCTTTGTCCAGTTGGAGCAACTGTTTAATATCTTTTCTATATACCATGACCTGAGATAGATCACAAATGCAAACAGAAACACTAATCTAACTTTAAAAGTTAAAATATGCTTATTCTTTTTGAAGACATAGGCTGTAACACGCCCTGCAGTATATAGACCGAATAGTAAAGCAAATGCAAAAGTATACATTCCTCCATAAAAATTCATAGTAACATGCTAGAATATTAGTATAAGGACTGCCACATTGGTTACAATCAAACCAAATATAAATCGATGTTCTTAGTTCTGCCTAGGGTTAAGTTAATGTAGTATTAGTATGAATAGAGAAAAACATATAGCCAATAAGATCACATTTTAGGTTACATATTCACCAACATACTCTCTCAAGCATATATTCATAGATCTTATAGGGCAATAAGTACTGTATTCAATTCCCAGAAATATCAAATTAGCCAGCACAACGCAGAAGGATACTAAAGTGTATAGTTTTCTTTTGGGAGTGTTATTAGTTATCCTTAGGTATTTTGCGCTATCTAATATTTTATATTTGAATTCAGACATTGACACTTTATTATTTTAATGTTAACTCAACTCTAATTGCTTTTTAAATTTTCCTTAGGGGTTTTGGGGTTTTGGGGGTTTTGGAGTTATATAATAACCGC